AGACACTTGACCGCATTATCAATATAATTTGTGATGTAACAATTTGCTCACGTCGGTTCTTTGCGTAAATGACATTTTATTTTTCACGTGCGCCGCATTTGCATTGTTATCTACGCTTGAATATTTTATAATTTATTATATTAGAGTTTAGATTCCCTGAGTTGTATACGCAACTTATGGTGCGGTATACACGTGGGTATACCGTATACCTGGTTGAAGAACACTGAAATAGGCTATACAATCAAAAACAAAGAGATACGACGCAACGACGATGTTTACAATTGTCAGTTAGTTAATTGCACGTCCATGTCTAAGGTTCCGGTGTGAGAGGATGAAGATGAGGTATGGTTGCTAAATTGATATGTTCGCCTATTTACAAAATATCTCACGAAGCACGTAAAGATTTGTTCGGGACATAAACTTGCCAAAAACCAACGTTGGATGGGACAACGACACGAGACGAAAATTGTAAAAGAGAAATGTAGAAATCCTTCGTTTAAGCTTGAGTTGTTAATCATAGTTTGCACTGGAAAAGAAACGGGAACAAAAGAGAGACTAGCATAAAATACGGGCAAATGTCATGAGCGCTATTGTTTGCAATTTATAATCGCCATGTCTCTGCATGATAAGTGTAAATTTTTATTGAATGGTCTATTTACATAATTGACGATCCTGCGAGGGAAGTTAATGAACAAAAAAAATATACAGGAAGGAGACAAAATAGATCAGTGGGTGGCTCCAAACTTGTTTTCCGATCCGATCTTTTCTTCTTATCTTCTATGAACCCCCTGAAAAATAAATTATGAAAAGTGGAATGTTTTTAACGCACTAAATCCAATTCCAATAAATGTCTCTTAAGCTTGTATCTATATTCGGACCTCGTTTTCGAGGTTTTAATACTATTAGGCAATGGGTTCCATAATTTAGGCCCAAAAATTGGATCAATTCTTGTGCTATTGATGTTCTAACATACGGAAATAAAAATTTGTCGTGACTTCTGATATTTCGGGTATTAATATTCGCGAATACGCGATCAAAGCAACTAGGGAGTTGACCAGTAGAAGATAAAAAACATCAAAGTACAATTTTCAAGCTTTAGTAAATCTTCAACTTGTAATAGTTTTTGAGTAATGGCTGACATGAATTGCGAAGCGCATCCTAATTTGTGTAGTGCTATTCTGAATCGTAAAACACGTTCATTGAGTCAAGTCAGGTTAATTTTTCCAACCAATAAAAATTATCACAAGCACAAATTACCAAAGAACGATAATTTATACAGTTTTATAGGGGAAGGGAAGTCGCGGGGAACCAAGGCTGGTTATCGAGGAGCGACACCCTATGTTTTATGTCTTTGCGGTTTCATGACGTTAACGAAGTCGTTATACACAACCTTTTTATTGAAATTGAAGATGCACTAGCAGATCTGGAACTAGAACTAATCGATTTACAATGCGACGTTTTATCAAGATAAATTAATAGGGTATTAATAGATGAATTTTATTGCGAATATCGCCTTGTGAAAAGTTACCAAAGTTAGAAAAAAACGAGCAGGAATGATTTCTTTATTTGGTAGTGCAGATGTTTTCTCGCATGAATAAAGAGCAAGATTAGATCTCCTATCACTGATCGTTATCTGGAGCAATGCATGCGCTTGGCAACAACATTGTTGTAATCGGACATCAATTTTTTAGTTCGAAAAAAACAAATTCAACTTGCTTATTAAACCAGATATATACCAACTCGCATAAAAAGCTATAAATTTCACCACTGAAATACCAGCATCAATATACATTAGTTGGATATATGATTATTCCGCCATGCAAGAAATCAAAACACAAATTATCATACTATACAGCAGGGGTCACCAACATTTTCGAGGCCGAGGGCTACTTTCTGGGTACAGATCAAGCTGCGGGCTACCAGTTTAATGTACACTTCTAAAAGTCAGTTTGCTCGATTAGGCTTCAAATATTGATAATAACTGTCAAGTAGAGACACTGATAAACTTGAGGATTCCTCAGGAAATCAAACGATTATAACAAGTATTAAATAAAAATCTATCAATAACACTTCAATTTCAAAACTGAATGTCTCCAAATTAATTTTAAAGTGATCACTACTATATTATCCTAGGAAACCACAATGTACCTGGATTATTTACAAACACTCTGCGCAAGTTTAAGATAAAAATGGACTTAACAGTTGTACTGTGAGGCGTGTTCCGTGTTTGTTCCTGTTGGAGTGAGTCGCGGCGGTGTGGTGTCATCGTGCTAAGCGTTAAGAACGTTAGGTTCGCAGGTTAGAATTCCACGTGGGGATAGTTATGTGCAAGAGGTATGCTGGACTCCTCGCCGCCGTTGGGTGGTAACCGCTGGTTACGGCTCCCTTCGCCATCAAGTCCATGCTTCCGAAAACTAATAACTAGCTAATCCCAAACCCGACATGAAATGGTAGCCGGACGAGAATGCGTGCGTTCTGCGTGGGGAAGCCGTCTTATCGACTATCTTCTCACTCGGAATAAATATGTAAATCCCATCCTATCCTGAGTTTATGTCAAAAATGTTGATTCACAAAGATAGGTGGAACCAGACAATGGTCGCGTAAAATAGGATTGCTGTATGATTTGAATCGCGAACTTTTTCTGCCTGTACTGCGCTGACCAGTGAGTGAGTGGATAGTTAGCGCAGTAGATTGCGTGACAAGATGTAAAATATCTATTCGCTTTGCCGTCGCCACAATCGCCTCACTAATGAGACACACGCAGGCCGTTTTCATGGTGGTAAAATATTTATCTATATATAATACCGGACATATAAGTGCTAATATTTCATTAAAATCATTTCATAATGTCTTTTTGCCAAATCTTGTCAGATTTGAGAAACTTCCCAATTGTTTCAACTGCAACTCTTGTATGTTTCATACCTCTATAATAAATGGCCATTTATATGTAGTCATATTCAATCCTCCCATTCAATAATTTAACTAACTATCCCCCCAACTCAAATTGGGAATCAACAAGTCTTTATTCCTGCGACGATTCAATTCAAAGTCAATACCTTGAAATAAGATCAATAAGGCTTCTTCCAGGTTCTTACCATCCGACCTCAATCTAATACATCTTAACATCAGATCACTTGCTAAATATGTTGATAACTTAATAGAATTAACTTCAAATTTTCATATTCTCCCCCATGTGATTGCTCTTAGTGAGACCCGGATCAATAATATGACCATGCCTTTTAATATGGACATCCCAGGGTACACCTTTTATCATGTTCCCTCTCCAACTCAGGCGGGTGGTGTGGGTTTGTACATTAAAGATAATTTAGATTGCCAATTAGTCCAAGATTTTAATTTAACATTTCCTAACTGTGAGGATATATGGATCGAGCTCAAGTTCTCCCAACCCAGCTTGAATTTTCAGAGCCTCATTATTGGTGTTATCTACAACCACCCAAAAAGCAATTTACCATCTTTTACCCTAGCAATGACTCGCCTATTCGAAATACTGGCTATGACTAAAAAATATTCATGATACTGGGTGATTTTAACATTAAACCTACTCGACACGTATAATAATTCCATTGCCATGTATTTGGACATGCTCATGTCTTACTATGTTTTCCCAGTGATAACGAAACCCACTAGACTCACCTCAACTTCTCACACCCTTATAGATCATATCTATACGAACACCATTAACCAATGTTCTTCATCATTTATTTTGCTCAGTGACATGACTGATCACCTTCCTATAGCATTCACAATCTTGGGTGTTAATGTTGGCTTAAAGACCAATACTCGCATGAAGCGCGATATGTCAAAATTTTGTATCAATTCTTTTAGGTCCGATGTTGAGTTGATGTGTAACAACTATACGGGTGCTACCTTTTGCAACGAAAATTTCAATACCTCTTTCGATACCTTCCTTGGTCACTTGAAATGGTTAATTAACAAACATGCCCCCTTACGACCCTTATCTCGCAAAAAACACAAACTTTACTACAAACCTTGGATCACTAAGGGAATTCGCAAGTCTATCAAACACAAAAATAATATGTACAAAAACAAGTTCTTGAGGGGTAGTCCATCCCAGCGTGATCACTTCAAAAAGTATAGAAATTTGTTGGTTCATTTGCTTAGGAAATCTAAAGAATTATTTCATCGTAATGTCCTCGAGAACAACCGAGGTGATGTTAAACGTACATGGAAAACGATCAATGACATTATTAAAATTAAGTCCAGAGATAACATCTCCGTCTCAGAATTAAAGCTTGAAAATGGAACCACAGTGACAGACCCTGTCCTGGTTGCCAATGAATTTAATAAGTTTTTCTCCACAGTAGGGAAGAAACTTGCAGATAATCTCCCTGATAGCCCAGTGTCTTTTGCCGGCTTCTTATGTACTCCATTGCGAAATTCTTTTTTTCTTGAGCTTACGTCACCGGCCGAGATCTTGCAGATTATATTGAACCTAAAAAAAGGGAAAGCTGTTGGGCCTGATGGTATTCCTTCCCACTTTCTTAAGTCTGCTGCTGATATCATTTCGCCAGCGCTATGTGATTTTTTCAATTCGTCTTTTAGATTAGGTACTTTCCCTTCTTCACTTAAGATCGCACGAGTACCAGTTTATAAGAATGGTAAAAATAATGATCCCTCAAATTACAGACCAATTTCAATCTTACCCTCCATTGGCATCATCCTAGAAAAATTATTACATAAAAGAATGCTCAATTTTTGTACAAAATTCAACTTAATCGATAAATGTCAGTTCGGATTTCTATCCGATCATTCCACAAACTATGCTATTCTAGATTTAATTTCCTATATTTATGATAAACTGGACAAAGGTGAATTTGTTTGCTGTATTTTCTTAGACCTTAAAAAAGCCTTCGACACTGTCAATCATACTATTCTCTCACACAAACTGAGACATTATGGTTTTCGAGGTGCTACAGGCAACTTATTTTGTGATTACCGGTCGACAACGATTTGTCGAGGTGGATTCCAATAGGTCTCCCATGCTCCCTATTCACTGTGGAATTCCTCAAGGTTCTGTATTGGGACCGCTTGCTTTCCTCGTCGCAATAAATGATCTGTCGTCCTGCTCCAACTTCTTAACCAAACTTTTCGCTGACGATGCCTGTTTGCTTTACAGCTCAAAAGATTTGAATACGCTCCAAGATAAAGTGAACTCTGAAATTAATAAAATACGTGATTGGATGACCTGTAACAAATTTACAGTGAATGTTGACAAATCAAAAGTGATGTTATTCAGCCCGAAAACTCGCACTAGACACGCAAATATCTCAATCAGAATTAAAGGAAACTCGCTCGAAATTGTCAACTCTTACAAATATTTAGGGCTCATTATTGACAACAAATTAAAGTGGAACACCCACACTGTTGAAATACATAGGAAACTTTCAAGATCAGTAGGTATTCTAGGAAAGCTCAGGCATTATATACATGACGCAACCCTTCGAACCGTATAATTTGTCCTTTTCCAACCATATATACAATATGCTGTAGCTGCTTGGGGGCTGCCTCACAAGCAAATTTGCATAAATTAAAAGTTCTTCAAAATAGAGCTGTTAGAACTCTCGCTAGAGCTCCTTTTCATTCTAACCTAAACATCCTATACCATAAGACCAGGGTGCTAAAATTGTCAGACATCTACAAATTAGAGGTCTCCAAGATTATGCACCAATACCACAACAATAATCTACCCGCAGCTCTTGACAATTATTTTCTAAGTCTTAGTAATGTACATGAGCACAATACCCGCTCCTCGACTAAGTCTAATCTTTTTGTACCACGTTTTTCCCTAGGCTTAACACAAAATTCCCTAAAATACAAAGGTGTACTAATTTGGAACAGTATTCCCCTCAGTCTACGTGACTCCACTTATGACATCTTCAAATTTAAATTTAAAAAAGTCATGCTCTCTTCTTACCTGTCACCTGCCAGCACCTAGAGTTGATGTGCTGTCAGCTTTCCTCTTTGTCATTGCCAGGATTGCTTGATCTGATCCACAGCCTCTCGAATTGATTGACTTGATACTTTTAATAAAAAATTTTCTGCACTGTGGAAGAAATAATCATGTTTGTTTTTATTAGATTCTTGTTATTACTTCATATATTCCACAGTGGAATAAATTTTCATGCTTATTTTTCTATGTCACACTTTTTTCGTACTTTAGATATTGCCCAGTGGAATGAATATTTACTCTTTTGTTGTTGCCTACTTTATATACTGCACAGTGAAATAAATTTTCATGCTTATTCTTGTTGAATTCGTTCTGCACCTTTGATACTGCACAGTGGAATGGATATTCATGGTCAATTCTGTCTATTTCTTAATTTACTTCATATATTGCACAGTGAAATGAATCTCCATGCTTACTTTTTTTGAATTCTACAAGGACTGTTTAATTTTATGCAGAGAAATGAATAGTCATGTCTTATATTTATTATACTTTTTATTTTGCACATGAGTTTGTTTCTATTCTTCCTGTAATCCACAGATATCTGTGGAAGTGCAGTCACACTCGAGGGTTCATGTTTTGAATTAACCAATATCTTTTTTTGCATTTGTTACCTGCAGTCAAACATAAGTGCTCTCACTTTTGTTGAAATTATACCACAATAGCCATGTGGTACATGATCTAAAATTATAAGTTATATTTCAGATCTCTTATTGCATTGTAATTGCCTTCAGTAGCCTATTTTAATAATATCTGTGCAGTCTGTTTGTGGATTTCTGCTAGATCTAACTTATGTTTGGTTCAACGATAATCTAGTATTTACCAGAATTTTGTTTACCTTTTTAAGTTGATCTCTTTTTCTGTTCATGTATGAATTTGCCACCAGCACCCAGTCATCAGGCCACTGTAGAATTCCATGAGTACGGTACCGTATAGATTTAAAAACCCCTTTCGGAACCTGATTCCAATAATATTGTTTGTTATTAATGTCTTCCGAATGAGGTACTACCCCCAAAACAATGGCCCTTACTGCAGCTGACAAGCGAGGTTTCTTAGCCCGTTTATCCATAGTTACCTCATAATGCTATGGTTTATCACTCTGATATCTAATAAACGCGGTTGACATGGTTACCCCGCCTGTTGTGACTGGAGTCGCTTGCTTCCTTCGTTATGAACGAGACTCGGATATTCGGGTCGCCTGAATATATTCTATTTCCGTATTCTCTTAGTATTTAATGTTCGTCTTTTTATTCCTTTATAAAATTTGATGTTAGACTTCCTTGTAGGTGACGCTGCTCGATAACCATTACTGGTTTATCGCGTCTTCCTTCACACTAAAATGCATTTTTTTCTTTTTTTACTTAATCCTATTCGTATAATGTGTATTTTCGGCATGTGTAAAAATAAACTACTGATACTGATCAATATAGTTTTACTTTAAACAAACCTTTTCCAGTGCTATCTGTAAAATGCTTATACAATATATTACATTCATCTTTGTATGTATGAATGTATGTTGTGGTTATTAAAGTTTATTTCTGCTTCCAATATATTCGATTATGAGTAATTTTTTTTCATCTTTGCTGTATATTTTATCGCATATATGCAATCAATACTTTACTACCATGCATCTAACGCTGAATTCAATTCTTCGCATTTTATCTGTTTTGAAAATCCACTGCATAATCACATGGTTTGAATTGATTACGTTTGATGCATTCCAAATGTTTACCTTACATTGTGAGAAAACTTTATTATTAAATAAACTAACGAATTAATTAATTTGTCCATTTCTCAAATTCCACGTCAATTTGGAGGATTGCTTTGGTTTTCAGCGAAAATTTGTTTCGTTAGTTTCAAGTGGGAATTTATTGCTGTTGAACCTGGAAAAGACGATTGCACTTTAAAATGTACGTTATTGTGACATAAAGTAAAAACATATTCATGGAGAAGGGGAATTCTAGATCAAAAATTTTACTAATTACATTTCTGAAATTAAAATAAGTTTGTAATATTTTTCAATTTTAAATTATATTTATCCCATTTCATGAGATATGTACATGTGGTAGACGGTTTCATGCCTCGATTTCTAGTCCGATGATTGCATGATCTTTACAAGCTCGCAAATTAAAATAAAATTGTAGCCTAGTCGTCTATTTTATTCTCGGGGGGCGTTTTTCGACACTTCACTGAAACTACCAAAAAAACTTGATTTTAGAAAAACAAGAGAGCTATGCTCAAATATATGGACACGTAGCGCCACCCAGTGACAATAATTTTGATGACGTCATAGCGAAAAAAAAGTAATAGCCTTCTGGAGAAAAATTTTATCTTTAACCACTGAAAATATCAAAGCAATTGATCCAGTATTCGAAGAGAAAAGCGATATTTCAAAAATGGAGACGGAGACAAATAAAAACAAATTTTGAAACGATCGTTATGGCCACTAAACGTGTCCAACAAGCAATTGTTTATATTCAAGCTTGAAAATCTGTCCCAATGTAAAATGCGGCTGTTCAATTTCAACTATTACATCGCTGTAATCTTATTGATAGCTAATGAGTTCAATAAAAAGGAAGTCGATGTAGAAAACAAGCTGCCGCAATAACATATCCAATTACATACATAATATAGCAGAGATACGGCCTGTAATAAAATGTTGGATCATTTCCTAATCAAATATCGTGAAATGGCTTCTTATGAGAGTTGCCAATGAAATGAATATAATATATGCGATATATACAAGTAATCGCTGTTAATTTGAAAAACCATGCGACTCCTATTTACATGGAGAAAAAAGTTCACATACGTCCGTCTTTCGGTTTGTTTACGACTGCATTTTAAAACTAATTTCCTTTACGCCCGCTTTTATTGGCCCATGTATGAGCAAAGTACTGGCCATCATTGAAACCCTATACAATCATGGCGGAACGTTGTGCGCCAGTAAACATCTATGAGATACCGTGCAACTGGAGTTTTGAAAAACTTCTGTCATAAAAATTTCTTTTTATTGGGCAACGCTAAAATACTTCATGATGCAAAAATATTTGTTACCGTATGGCTATTATGAGCCAATAACCTCGACTAACCCATGAGCTTTGTCGCACTATAATAAAACTCATACAACTGGTACGAAGCAAACAATATTATATTTTAGGGGAAAATAAATAAATTGCAATAAATATAAAGCTGGCAAAGAGCGTATAAATTATTGTTAAACCAATAGTTAGAAATTATTTCCATACGCACGAACAATTATTTTCCCGTGTAGGATGAATTTTAAATGTATGAAAGAGTACTGCTATTTTGTTATTATTATTAATTTATTGTTATTATGACTCATTATATTGGTTGCGCTTTGTTACTTCAAATTGGAAGTGACTCACATGCCTTCTTCTATTCCTGTGAAGTGGTGCGATGAATCTCTCGTCTGTGTTCAGTGAAGGGTGGTGGTGTGAAACATGGGCGAGTCCCAAATTCAACACGGAGAAAATTCTCTCGAATTTGGGATATGAACTAAATACATCTCGATACAGTGGTTCTTAAACTTTTTCGAGCGCGACCCAAATCTGAATTTTATGAATACTCGCGACCCAATCCTAAATAACGCAAAATGTGTTTTTAATGTTCGTACAAATACAGACAACTATTTATTAGAAACAGTCCATTGACTCAGTGAGATTGATGAAACTGAAATTTCCTTTTCATTATATCTTCAATACACAGCTTTATTTTACTGAGCGCAATACGCAAGTTGTCATGGGAATCGAGGCGATTGCGAGCTTAGTTTTAATATCATTCAGTGCCAAATATCCTCGCTCGCACAGGTGCCTTGTCGCGAATTGTAGCAGAAACCTCGTCCACTGTCTGTCGCAAACACGACATTCTAGCTGGACTTAAGTATCTCTCGCAATATACAACTTTTTACTCATCAAATGTGCACACACTGATTCGTTCGCGGTAAATGGTGCCTCGAGATGAAGTCACATTTCTCTCTAGATATTGAATAATTTAATGTTGAGAAGCGAGATTTTTCATTGCATCGTCTATTACAATTTACATTACCAAAAAGACACCCATTTTTGGTTATTTTAATCCACTAAGACGACATTCCTCGAGGTCAACACAACGACAAGCGACGTGCATGGTTACCGATGCCATAAAATAATACACGTGAGTGGCATATCAGAATTGTGATGTAACAATGAGCTCAAGACAGTTCTTTCCGTGAATGAAACTTTATATTTCATTATTTTTAAATACCAGAGTTTAGAAGCTAAATTGAATCATTGGGAAAGCTGAAAATTCGTCCTTCTCCTCTTAGATTGCCCTTGCATTGACGACCTTGTCGCGACCCGTACTTTAAGAACCACTGCGATAAGCGGTAAATTCAAGTACATTTTACGGTAACTTAGGGATAAGAATTTCAAGGAATATACTGTATTTTCACAATATCTTATCAAAAAAGTATTCACCGACTAACAAAATAAGATCTGAGCAAGTCAGTTAATAAGATTCGTAATCAAAGGAGTTTACTCTCAGAGAATATACCATTAATAATGCCAGTTCTACTATAACGTGAGAACCACGTATCCATATACGACTTTGAAAATGTTTTAAAACCGGGACAATTACAGGCCTAAGTCCTATAGCCAGGGCTGCCATCCATATTAACCCCACAATAAGGACAACAGGGAAACATAATCATAAGATAACAAAGAACGAATGTAATGAACCAAAATGTATTCATGCCAGAGCGACCAGGGTCCAATCATACTTTTCATTAGCAAAGATTTGCTACATGAGTTCTTTAGTCCTAAAAACTATAAGTTCCATCTCACTTCTAAGTTGTATTTTGCTTCTAGATAAACGAACTGATTTTGGCTATTGTGGCAATAATTAGCTGTTGTTGTTGCCACTAATGCGCCTAGCAATCAATAAGATTCTAATATAATTTCTGTCAAATCAATCATTTCAATTGCCCAATCCGAGCGCCCGGAATAAGAACCTCTACCCTTGAAATAAAACAGAAATAAGGACACATGTCAAAAGAGGATTTTATTGATTGATATAAAAAAGATTCATACACTCTACACAATACAATTTGAGTCGATGGGTACAAAATTTTAAAATTATGTGTAATCCATTGCTGAAAAAAGCCTATTTCGCCTATATCGTCATAGGTGAAAAATCGTAAATTTATGCACTTTTCAAACATTACTCACATGTCTTTCCGCCCAAGAGGGGCGAGATTTTATTGATTGATATAAAAAAGATTCATACACTCTACACAATACAATTTGAGTCGATAGGTACAAAATTTTAAAATTATGTGTAATCCATTGCTGAAAAAAGCCTATTTCGCCTATATCGTCATAGGTGAAAAATCGTAAATTTATGCACTTCTCAAACATTACTCACATGTCTTTCCGCACAAGAGGGGCGAGATTTTATTGATTGATATAAAAAAGATTCATACACTCTACACAATACAATTTGAGTCGATGGGTACAAAATTTTAAAATTATGTGTAATCCATTGCTGAAAAAAGCCTATTTCGCCTATATCGTCATAGGTGAAAAATCGAAAATTCATGCACTTTTCAAACATTACTCACATGTCTTTCCGCCCAAGAGGGGCGAGATTTTATTGATTGATATAAAAAAGATTCATACACTCTACACAATACAATTTGAGTCGATGGGAACAAAATTTTAAAATTATGTGTAATCCATTGCTGAAAAAAGCCTATTTCGCCTATATCGTCATAGGTGAAAAATCGTAAATTTATGCACTTTTCAAACATTACTCACATGTCTTTCCGCCCAAGAGGGGCGAGATTTTATTGATTGATATAAAAAAGATTCATACCCCCTACACAATACAATTTGAGTCGATGGGCACAAAATTTTAAAATTATGTGTAATCCATTGCTGAAAAAAGCCTATTTCGCCTATATCGCCATAGGTGAGAAATCGTAAATTTATGCACTTTTCAAACATTACTCACATGTCTTTCCGCCCAAGAGGGGCGAGATTTTATTGATTGATATAAAAAAGATTCATACACTCTACACAATACAGTTTGAGTCGATGGGTACAAAATTTTAAAATTATGTGTAATCCATTGCTGAAAAAAGCTTATTTCGCCTATATCGTCATAGGTGAAAAATCGTAAATTTATGCACTTTTCAAACATTACTCACATGTCTTTCCGCCCAAGAGGGGCGAGATTTTATTGATTGATATAAAAAAGATTCATACACTCTACACAATACAGTTTGAGTCGATGGGTACAAAATTTTAAAATTATGTGTAATCCATTGCTGAAAAAAGCCTATTTCGCCTATATCGTCATAGGTGAAAAATCGTAAATTCA